TTTTCAATAATAGATAGGAAAGAATAAATGTTAATTTAAATTTATTAACCTCTCAATTAAAATTATGCCTGTGCCAATGATGTTGAGGATGGAGTTTTTTATATTTTCCTATACAAATTAAAAAAAATTAATACACCTTTAATGTGTGATTAAGACAAATTAAACATGTCCTTGAATAAATTTCATTTTTATTTATACCAGATGCAATAAAAAAATTTAAACACAAAATAGTTTCATTTTCAATTTCATTTATACCAGATACAAGAAAAAAAAACTTCAACAAAAAATAATTTCCTTTATTAATAAATTCTTGGCTAAAGTAGTGGATAAGGTCCCTAATTTAAACTAAATTCATAATTAAAGTTCTAAAGTTTTATTATGTTCAATTAAGGTCCTAAAGCTGTGGTAATTCTCGAATAAGGTCTTAATTTGATGAAAACCATTAGATCCGTTAAATCTATTGTTAACCTCATTAACTCTAACCAGTTAAATGACAAAAAAACAGTCCCTAAACTTTTCATTTTAATTCTTAATAACTTTAAATTTTTCAAAAAACCTTAAAAAGCTCTTAAATTTATTTTTCTCTTTGTATATGAGGAAATTTTTGTAGGATCCACGGCTAAAAATTAATGTGACATATATGGTGGCCTCAATTTTTATGTTATTTTTTTTCATGAATGGATTTACCATGCAAATATATGAGACCCACTCAAAAAATTTATTATGGTAAAAACAAGCTCAAAATTTTTTTTAATGGTTAATTAAATTTTTAGTAAAATCATTTAAAGGATAATTAGTAAATTATTTCAGAGAATTAAAATTAATTTTTAGTTGTGAGTCCCAGAAAAATTTCTTTACCAACAAAAAAAAAATTAGTTTAAAGAGCAATTTGAGGTATTTAATAATTTTAAGGGTATTGACAATTAAAATTAAAAGCCTAGGGACTCTTTTCTAATTTAACCAATTAAATTTAATGGTGTTACAAAATATTTAACTGACCTTATCCGAGAATTTGGACAACTTTAAAACTTTAATGAAGTGTAATTAAACTTTGAGACATTAATTAAGAATTTTAAGGTAAATTCGGGGCCTTATACTACTTTAACCTAAATTCTTTACTTCATTTCTGATTTCTGAAACAAATCAACTCTGGATTTTCTTTTCGAGATCACAGACCACGAAACCAAAGCACAGAAGACGGGGACAGCCCAAGAATCGCCAATCGCCGACAAATTGGAGCCCAAGGTTTCTCGGAATCTTCAGCTGAATCAGTGAGGAATCGAAGCCCTAACTCACATCAGGATCAGGATCACAGATAAGCCTGAACCCTTAGATCAACCAAGATTTCACAAAATCTACAGGTATATTATCTAGATTCTAGCTCAAATTTCTCTAATAATGGAATTCTATTCATGAGTTGACAATCTCACTGCATTAAATCTAGAAATCATTTCACTGATTCATAAAGAACACTCTTAAGCTCAAAATGTAACTAGCGAGCATATAAGTTCCAAAATGGATTTTATATACATACAATCCACAAGCTTGGCTTGATTTATGCCTAGCCCCAGAGCTTAATTACACAAAACAGCATATTTACATTACCAACAAAAGGTACAGCTCTATTTTTCAAGTAGAAAACTAAGTTTTGTACACAAAAGAACTTTTACATGACCAGCTTGTTTAGAACTAGCTGTGAGCCATGACAAGGTTTTAGTCAGAGAACAAGTTTATATTACCAACTTAGCTGCCAAGCTGTGTCTTCGGCTGGTTGAAGTACTCTTCTCAAGTATTTATAAGCTGTTATATAATATACTAACCTGTAACAACAGGGAAAAACAATATTTCCATGAGCTAAAAGGCTCAATAAGTAACAAATAGCTTAACAAACTATAAATATTCAAATTAGTCAAACCAGAAACTGTTCTCAGCAGTATTCAATGTAGTTCCCTGCACATTCAATGATAAAATTGTATTAAAAGCCTGTCCTATCTTCCAGACATTAGGACAGATTCTGTTTTATCGACAGAAACACAATTAAACTTAGCAACTTTATGCCAATCTAAATATTTTGAGGATGAAAGGCAGTGCTCATCCCTAGTTCTGTGCCTAAAGCTTCTTGCAAAGCTCTCAATCTTCTATCCCTGTCAGAAATTATTCTAACTGGTACACCATGCAGTTTAACAACTTCCTGGAAGTATTTGGCAGCCAGCTCATTCAAGTCATGATTCTTCCATACTGGAATAAATGCACTGACTTGGTAAGTCTGTCTACTACAACCTAAATTGCATTGGACTGCTTCTTTGTTTCAGGTGGTCCAAGTACAAAGTCCATAGTCACCTCCTCCCATTTCCACTCCGGGATAGGCAAAGGTTGAAGTTCAACGGCAGGTTTCTGGTGCTCAGCCTTTACCACTTGGCAGGTCATGCACTTAGCTACAAGTTCTGCCACATCTTTTTTCATTCCATCCCACCAGTAATTTTGCTTCAAATCATTGTACATTTTTGTACAACTAGGATGAATTGAATACTTGGAGTTATGTGCCTATTGCAGCAGCTCCTTTTCTCAATTCTACATCCTCAGGAATGCATATTCCACGACCCATCCTGATTACACCACCACATGCCATTTCTAACCCAAGATTTTTTTTCTTTTCTTCATCACTCACCCATTTTTGCAGCAAGTAATCCTTCTGCTGGGCCTCTTTGATTCTCTTAAGTGACTATAGTTGTAAGCTCATACTTGCTAAAACTACCCTAGGTTGTTGATCGAGAATTTGAATTCTCAAATCTCTAAATGCTTCCAACAACCCCCACTCTCTAATTTTGATTGCGGCAAGGGAAACAGGCTTCCTACTCAACACATCTGTTACAACATTTGCTTTCCCTGGTTGGCACATAATCTTACAATTGTAATCATTTATGTACTCAACCCATCTCCTTTGTCTAAGATTTAACTCTTTTTGGGAGAACACGTATTTTAAACTTTGGTCAGTGAAGATTTCAAATTCTTCCCATAAAGATAATGCCTCCAAAGTTTAAGTGCAAACATTATGGCTACCAATTCTAAATCATGAACTGGATAGTCCTTTTCATGATTTTTTCATTGCCTACTTCCATAGGCAATCACCTTGTCTTGCTGCATTAATACGCATCTCAATCCTTTATGAGAAGCATCTGTATAAACAGAGAACTTTCCTTCCCTGCTTGGCAAAGCTAAAATGGGTGCTGACACCAGCCTTTCCTTAAGCTCCTGGAAGCTAGCCTCACAGTGATCACTCCACATAAATTTATGATCTTTCTTAGTTAGCTGTGTTAAAGGTTCAGGAATTTTTGAATAATTTTTCACAAACCTCCTATGGTAACCAACTAGACCAAGAAAACTTCTAACCTCAGTGACAGTTGTTGGTCTTTCCCAGTTTACGACAGCTTCAACTACATGCCCCAGAAAACTAACTTGTTTCAACCAAAATTCACATTTGTCTAATTTGGCATATAGTTCTTTTTCTCTACACATTTGTAGTACAAGTGCCAAGTGTTTTGCATGACTCTCCTCATCAAGTGAGTACACCAATATATCATCCATGAAAACTATAACAAACTTATCTAGATATGGTTGTAGCACCCTATGCATTAGATCCATTAATGCTGTTGAAGCATTAGTTAGCCCAAAGGGCATAACTAGGAACTCATAATGACCATATCTAGTTCTAAAAGCTGTCTTCATAACATCTGCCTCCTTTATTCTGAACTGATGATATCCTGACCTCAAATCTATCTTTGGAAATACCTTAGCACCCTACAATTGATCACAAAGATCATCTATCCTAGGTAATGGATATTTATTTTTAACTGTCACTTGGTTTAACTTCCTATAGTCTATACACAATCTAAGTGAACCATCTTTTTTCTTCACAAATAAAACTGGGACACCTAGTGTTGTCAAGAGTGCCCGCCCTAACCGCTTAAGCGGTAAAGCAGAGCAGTTTGCTCCTCTGGCGCTTCACAAATTACTGAAGCGCCAGACTTCAGTGAAACAGGAGTGAAGCGCCTGCTTCACTGCTTAAGCGCCCAAAGCGCGAAGCAGTTGAAGTGCCGCTTTTGTTGTTTTCCTCAATTTGACAAAATTATTCAACTTAACTTTTAATTTTAAGGGTAAAATGGTACTTTAACATTTTTTATCCCCTAAATAAAACCCTAAAAGACCTAATATTTTTTACATAATCATCTTTTTGTATTGTTCGCTTCACTTCAATGAAGCGCCCGCTTCGCTTTCCGCTTCGCTTTCCGCTTCACCACTTAAGCCTTTTGAAAGGCTAGCGCTTTAAGTCTCTTTACACTTTTGACAACACTGACACCCTAAGGTGAAACACTCATCCTAATGAAACCCTTGTCCAATAATTCTTGCAATTGTTTTTTAAGCTCAATTAATTCCACAAGAGCTGTCCTATATGGAGGCTGAGATATTGGTGCTGTCCTAGACTCCTAGGCATCAAATCTATAACAAATTCAATTTCTCTCTTTGGGGTAATCTGGGTAGTTCTCTAGGAAACACATCCTTAAAATCTTCCACTACCCTAATACCCTCCACAGATACTGGCTTACTCCTATTCTCAAAGATATAAGCCAGGTAACCAATGCAGCCTTGTTGCTGCATCATTGTCTCTGCTTTCATGCAAGAAACTATTACTGGTTTTGCTCTGGTTTCCTCTCCTTTTAATTGTATGCCAGGTTCATTAGGAACCCTAAGTGTTACCACCTTCTCTAAACAGTCAATTAAAGCTCTATAGGCTGACAACCAGTTCATGCCTAGAATTATATCAAATTCTTCTATGTTAAGAAGAATCATAACAGCCAGCAGAGTTTTTCCATTCACAAATATGGGATATCCTTTAAAAACTATATAAGAATTAAATTGGCACCAGATGGCAAATTAACTACCAACTCATACCCCAGACTTGAAGGTTTAACAGATATAAAAACAACATACTTGGAAGACAAATGAGTTAGTGGACCCAGGATCAATTAGTACCTTAGCTATTCCATTGGAGATAGGGAGTTTACCTCTAATCACAGCTGGATTCCCTTGCTCATTCAAGGCATACACTCTTCCAACCACCTTCTGTCTCTTTTTCATCTGTTTGGTCCTCACTGCGATTTCTTGCTAAATTCCTGGCTTCCCACACTTAAAACATGCACCCCAGTCTTTGCCCTCATGTTCTGATGGCACACTTTGCATTCCCGAGCCTCTACTTTTTTGTTGAACACCCCTCTTTCTTTTACCCTTCTGCTCAACCCTCTTATTCTGAGGTTGGACATGGTTGCTGACTGTGTCACCTTTGCCTCCCTGTTCACTGTTTTTTTCCTTCTTGGCAGTTTGATATTGCTCAATTACTTGAGCCTTTTTCACTGCAGCAGCATAAGTGCTTAGTTCTGCTGAGACTACCAATCTCCAATGGAAGTTCGCTGACTAATCTGAAACTTTCTCATCTTGGCCAATTCATCCTTAGCCACATCGGGAACAAACTGCACCAGATCATTAAATTTGGCCTGATACTGATCTACTGTCATATCTTCCTGCCACAATTCATTTAGGTTCCTGCTCCTTCCTATTAAGTGTAGCTTGGGAGAAATAGGTCTCATACAAGTCTTTGATAAAATCCCTCCAAGTTAAGCTCTCCCCACTGCCAGTATACCTCTCTTCAACAGGTTTCCACCAACTCAGCCTCTCCTCTGAGCATCAAGGTGGCCAGCAGGACTTCGTAATGATCCTTGCATCTCATCGCTTTGATTATCTGTTCTAGATCCTGTATCTACTCATCAGCATCTTTGGTGTCCTGTGTACCCCTACAGGTAGATGGATGCCACTTCTGAAACTGCTTCAGTTTGGCTTGATATTCAGGATCCTCCTCAAACAATTCAATCCCCTCTGGACCCTCATTCCCCCCAGATTGCCTCCAAACATTTCGTTGCGTGTTCATATCTTGCATTGCTTCTTGTATCATTTCCCTCATAGTAGTTCGTAATACATCGATAGAGATTGTCACCACTCCACCAACACTAGCATTCTGTTGTTGTTCATTAATTCTGGTGGGGTCACCAGCTGATGTCTCCTCTGCAGACATTATCCACCTGCAAAAAACAGAAATTGCAGAATTAGTTTGTCAGTCAACTGTCGACCAAACAAACTTGACTCTTAGCAAAATCTTTTGGCTTTGACACCAACTTTGTGAAATCCCAAAACAGGTAGTTTCCAGACACTGCTGTACATTCTAGCTGAAATTTCTGTCATAATAGATTTCTATTCATGAGTTGATGAGTCTTTAACTACATTAAGTCTAGAAATCATTTCGCTAATTCATAAAGAACATTCCTAAGCTCAAAATGTAACTAGCTAGCATATAACCATAAGTTCCAAAATATATTTTATATGCATACAATCCACAAGCTTGGCTTGATTTAGGTCCAGTCTTAGAGGTTAATGACACATAACAGCATATTTACATTACTAAGAAAAGGTGCAGTTCTTTTTTTTCAAGTAGAAAACTAAGTTTTGTGCATAAAAGAACTTTTAGATGACCAGCTTGTTTACAACTAACTGTGAGCCATGACAAGGTTTTGGTCAGAGAACAAGTTTGTATTACCAACTCAGCTGCTGAGCTGTGTCTTTGGCTGGTTGAAGCACTCTTGGCCTTCCCAAGTATTTATAAGTTGCTATATAATACACTAACCTGTAACAACAAAGAAAAACAATATTTCCATGAGCTATAAGGCTCAATAAGTAACAAATAGCTTAACAAACTATAAATATTCAAATTAGTCAAACCAGAAACTGTTCTCAGCAGCATTCAATGTAATTCCTTGCATATTTGATGATAAAATTGTACTAGAAGCCTGTCCTATCTTCCAGACATTAGAATAAAGTCTGTTTTGTCGATAGAAACACATTTAAACTTAGCAACTTTATGCCTGTCTAAATGTTTTCAAGAGAATGCAAATTACTTCCATGGATTTCCTGTGGGGGTACATCCCCCCTTACAAATGGCCCAGCCATAATTTCCTTGATTCCCAAAGGATCTAGTAACATCTCTTTGCACTCCTAGTCCAACTGGGTGTCATACTCCCAATCCAACTGGGTTTCATATTCCTAGTCCAACTGTGTTTAATACTCCCAGTCCAACTGGGTTCTATCTAGCTCAGATGCTTAGGTATTTTACCATAAATCCTTATACAAAAGGAACTCGATACTTCTAGTTAACTCACAGGAACACTATTTTAACTCATACACAATCACCAATCACCAATCTGCATTGTCATGTGGAAAACTACAGCTAGCACATCTTTATAATGCATTCTGCAAACAATTAATTCACCAAAAAAATCCCATGAGGACAAAAAATGCAGAAGTTACCAAGACCATTTCAAAGGTAAATTAACAGTAAGTGTCCACCTCCTTTTGTATGTTTCTAAATTCTCATGTAGGGGTAAAGTCTGAAAATCTATATTTAAATTTTTTTAAAACCTCAGAGAATTTAACCTAGCTTAATTTTGTTAATTTAATCTAGCTTAATTTTGTTAAGCTTAGAAGCTACTGACCTCAAGTCAAATGAGGTTGGACCCAAAACTACTCCAAAACTCTCAGTTTTGCTGCTGCCTTCATTGCAAGGCCAACACTCCTCTATTTTTGTTTTGCTTGTCTGGTGCCAAAACAGAAAAGAAAAAAATTGGAATTCATTTTGGTCATACCCTTCTAAGAGCATCATAATTCTGACAGAGGTTAGTGGTATTTTAATGCATTTCACTTTCAATCTA